TTTGTATTTTATATGATAATTTCTTCTTGTATTTTTTCTCTATATATTTTTCCAAATCCTCAAAATGTTGGTTTATTTCCAGGTTAAATAAATAAAATAATACATTATCAATTACATTATCAATACAGCCGAATGACCTGAATCTGGGATTCTAACTGGTTGTTTGGTTGTCTGTCATCACTCAGAAAAATATATTACCTTGATGAGCTGCATGTGTGACTTTAGATCTTCTAGCTTCTCTGGCAACAGACTCTTCAGTCTTGCTTTTATCTCTTTCAGTTTGAGAGCACTATCAGCCAGGCCAGTTTCACAGAGCTTCCAGTTCTGCAAAGAAACAGAAGAATCTCTTAATTTAAAGTGAAAGATGTTTGTCTCTATAATCTTTTCTACACTGTGAAAAACAACACCAGATCATACAGTTTTAGACTTAAACGAATCTTCCAGGTTCAATACAGTATTGAGCTCTAACAACAGTACCTTTGTGTGGCATAATGTCAATTAAATAATTTGTATCTTGATCCTGGAACATTCCTTTAACTGTCTATAAGTTCTGGTTATGAGAGCCACTGATGTGCATGTATTTTGGGTGCTGTCACTGTGTTATCTCAGATCAGATCTCAGATCACTGAAGAGGGATTTCCCTTTCACATGGGGATACACCATCCCCCACCTATTGTGAGCAAAAGTACACATAAACATACTTCCACCCACATCACTCTCTAAACCCCCTTCAAAACGATGTCATCATTCCAAACAGAAGAGCCAATCAGAGCTGGTTATGAGTGGCTGTGAATCTGGTGTTATATAATATCTAACAGTACAGGGGATCAGCCTCTAGTTTAGGGTGACACACAGCCCCACTGTTTGCTGGTGAACACTGATTTACATTTGGCAATAGTCAAATGTGGGATTGTGTGTGAACAATGACAGATGCTCCATGTAGACACCGAACTGCATAGTGGGTTAGTAGCCGTGGTTTAGAAAGCCCTTGTTCTATGTGATATGGCCCAGCTGCCTCATTTATGGATTATGGTGAGATTACATCTGATCTCTCATCCTCAAAATGAAGCACTCTATTAGAGAAACGCTCAGGAGGGCATGTAGGTCAATGGCGGCTAAGAAAGACCCGCACAATAACCATTGACCAACCAATAACCAAGGATTCAATAAGACAAGGGTGTCAGCACTAATCAGACTGATCCAAATCCTTGCTATGCTTATACTACATATTTTTTTAATTAGCAGGCTAATTCTTGTTTGACATTCTTGCGACATCCAAGCAAAATCATTCAAAACATTTGTCATTACCAAAGACGAAAAAGATCATGAATAAAGTGATAAAGCAACAAGCAAAATAAATAAATACAATAAAACACCAAATATTGGCAGATCCTATATATTGAAAAAAACTTGATTTATTCCCAACATACTGTAAATATGAATCATTGACAGTATTATTTGTCAATGGAAACTTTCACATTGTAACCAGTTAAGACATGGTCTGGGAAATGTGAGAATTGGGTCACATACATGAGTTATGGTGTCTGCAAGAGCCTTTCTTTTCC